AACCCGCCGGCTTGAGCCCCCCGCCTTCCCAAATCCCCCCCCCCCCACGCCTCGACCCCCTACAAAAAAGGATGGGGAAGGGGGTGGTGATGATAAGGAGAGACTCCCCTCACCCTTTCCTAAAAGCAACCTGCGCTTCCAAGGATGCTGGAGTGAGGAAAAAAGGGGGGACAAGACCCCCGAGGAGGTTTTTAGGGAATCGGTTTGGGTGGTGGGTGAGTTTGGAAAAGCTTCTGCTCGACAGAGAGGAGGTTTCCCCAATGGAAAGGCGATTGTTTGCCCCTAATCTTCAATTATGAGGATTTAAAAATAGTATTAGAGGGGCAATCTGTTCTGCAACTTCTCGGAAGGAATAATTGTTGATTTAGATAAGCGCCGATCCCTTTCAGCGCTTGATGAAGACGTTAATTTATGGCTGTCTCGCAGTTTATGGCTGTCATTAGGTTTTCAGCTTTGTCTCTCTTCGAAACGTATCTTTCCTTTGATTTTAACCCGAGACAATTATGTAAGGAAACGGCTACGTTTGATCCGAAATGCGTCGTTTTCCTATAGCATTTCAAATTATTCACAGCCCGTAGTTCTCAGACGCGCATATATGAATCTAAAAAACACAGCCGTAAAGTGCTTGAAACAGACCATAAATTTTTTTGCTTCGTCTTTTATGACAACGTCTTGTGAATCAGGTTGAGAGGACAAGGGCAACTAGGGGCTTTGGGGAAGGATTTAACCCTTCCCGAGGCTGGAGAACCAGCCAAAACAGAGCAAATCCCCCTCTGGACCCTCCGGGGGAATGGGGGGGGGACACTGGGTGACACCGAGCTGATGAGCGAGTGACCAGGGGGAAAGGGGAGGGGGGGATGGCTGGAGATGGGGGTTTTTTTGCTCATTTAGCAGATGTCCCTTCTGCGGAGTGACCGGCTGCTCGGAGCCTCCTCTCCCCCCACCCTGGGGACAGGTTGGGGACCGGGGGTCGCCACGCTTGGTACCCGCATCCCGGAGCGGGATGGTACCGGGCGGGAGAGGTTTAACCCCTGCGGCTCCTCCCTCCTCCCCAAAAGCGATATCTCGTAAAGAACCGGCATTAAAACCTCCCATGGGCTCCGGGAGAATCGGAATCCAGAGCCTCTTCCCCAAAGTTTTGTCCCGCTCCGGCACCTGATTAAAATCTCGGCATCCCTCTGGCCTGGGGCAATCAAAGTTACAAATGATGCCGGAGAGAAAAAGAAGAGTCGCGGCTCATTTATTTTTACCCCCCCTCTCGACAAGTCCCCGCCACCCCAAAAAAAAAAAAAAAAAAAGAGAAAAAAAAAAAAAAAAAAAAAGTGTTAATTGCTGTAAAGTTTCCGTCCACGTGGATAATCTACTTTGACTGCCGCGTTTTAATTAAAAGCAAACTTATTTATGTTTCGGATGTTTATATGACGCGATTTAATTACGTTTAGAGGCAGCGTCGCGCTTTTTTTTTTTTTTTTTTTTTTCCCCCTGCTCTGCTGGGGAGCCTGTAATTAGACTGTTTCCCTGCGATGGTGTAATTAATATAGTTTGGTAGCCCTGCCTGTCAGACAGGCACCTAAAATGAACAAAGTGTATGAAGTCCCACTAAAATTTTGACTCTGTGGGGGAACACAATGTTACACTAAGGGACCAATGAACTCTTCTTTTTTTTTTTTTTTTTTTTCTTTCCCCCCCCCTTCCAACCCTAAATCACATTTTCATTAAAGGTTTTAATAAGAAAACTCACTTGACCACTATTCATTATCGAGTCCCCTCCATGCAACACAAGTTCACTTACCCATTCATTTATTCACTTACTCATTCCAGCAGATCCGCTGCAACTGCTGCTAGCAGGGATGTGAACACTCATAATTATTTGTCAAAGTCTGGAAAGTGTATTATCCCTTCTTCTAGTGGTAATTAGTTACCATAGCATCTAATACGTAAATGTGCCCAGAGCACACCATTAACAGTTAAGCGGAGGATTCAATTTAACACATGATTATATCTTTCATAAGTCATTACATTAGGAAAGCCAATGTCACTCATGCTGGGACAATTCCCGGGCTCAGGAGCCGGGAAGAGAACCGGGATGAACTGGGAAGTCTCCGGGAGGGATGGGGGGGGGG